CAATTTATCAGTTTATCATGATTGAAGACCATGTGAGGTGGGAAATCCAAAAACAGCATGTGCACTCTTGACTCCACTGTTCCACAAACCTACATACCGGTGTCTGCTTATGACACAAGCATGCCACAGTTTATGTTAATGAGTTGAGTGCATTAATGGATGACAGATAATCAGTTACAATTAAACTGTCCAATCTATGATACATAGGATGCATTTCAGTGCAAGGAGTTGGCAAACATTCTGTGGAAGGGTAGAGGGGCCCAATTATTGATGCGTGCTCCAATTTCTTTAAGAGAGCCATCACTCTGTACGACAACAGCAGCACTACCAGCTGCACCAGTGGATTGGTGAACAGAACCATCAGCGTAAATAATTTGCGAGAGTGTGTGCTGTGTGACTAAGTTAATCAGTACAGCTTAAGGCCTCATGTTTGGCTTCAAGGCGAAGTTTTGGTTGTGATTTAAGAAGTAGTTTGGGGGGAAATGGAGGAATGGTAGTTTGGAATAGGGTAATATTCCATGGAGCGGAGAAGTGCCGCTGTTGCCCTACTTGACATAGATCATGTATCTGATTCATGCGGAGGTCGGTTCCAGTTTTTTCGATCCATCTAGAGGAGTGTTCACCAGTGCTGAGGAAAGTTTGGAGGGCTTCTGTGCAGGGGTTTGAATGAGCTTGCCTGAGCATATTAACCCCAATTAGGATATTTCTTTCAGTAACACAATCTCTGATGCTTGGAATATCAAGTTCTTTTTGCATATTTAAAATTTTGGCAGTACGAGGCATCCTAAAATGATCCTCATTGCTTCGTTCTGCAGTTTTTCCAGCCCTCCAAGCTTCCAGTCAGACACAAGAGCAAGTAGTGGCGCAGCATAATCAACCAATGATCTAATATAAGCAAGATACATCATTTTCACAATTTTAACATTAGCACCATACCTGGGGTGAAGCCCTGCCACAACTCTAAGTGCTCTTAGTCTTTCTTTGTATTGGCGACAAAGTCTTGTTACAACAGGTCCAAGTAGTGGAACCTCAAAGCCTAGATACCTGTATCTGCTTACATATTCTAGAAGAGACCCATCATGCAATTGGATTTGACGAACTGTGCCTCTCTGTCGAGGAGGACGCCTATTGAGTATCTTTGTTTTATCAGTAGAGATTATCAACCCCAGGTCCTGACACGAGGCTAGTACATGATTAAGGACAGTGTTGTGAACCACTTTAGGAAAATCTTAAAGGAACGTGAGGTACAGAGCTCTGTAGACAGATTTTTGGTGCAACAGAGATCCACTGACTCTCAAATTGTTCCCAGTAGCATTAACCCCTTGACTGTCGCAACCCCCAATCCTGAAGTGTCTCCTGGTGTCGCAGAATTATAAAAAAAAAATTATCTTTTCTTTTGAAATGATAGAGAATCTTTTCCCGATTGTAATGACATCAAAAACACGAATTTTGATGAAAAATTGATGGAATTACGCTCTCTCAAAGTTAGTGACCTCAGCGATATTTACAAATTGGCGATTTTGCCTACTTTGAGCCCTATTTTTGGCTAATTCCATTGTTCCAGTCGACCAAACTCATAACTATTTTTTTAGAAATTCATTTTTTCTATCAACTGAGTACAAGAAACTGCCCATTTACCAATTTCAACTACCCAATAACGTGGTCAGAAATTTGCAATTTGGCCAATTTCACGAAAATTAAAAAATATGACAATTTCAAAATAAGGTCCAGAATGAACAATGCAGACATTCCTGGCTCTAAAATAACATTTTCTTTGTTCATCAGTCACATCTCCAGGCCCCTCTGATATTACTCTTGCTTTCTATTTTGAATTTTTATTCTAACAAAAAATGGAAGATTTACCCCAATGGAAATAAGTCACTCTGTCTGACTTTTTTGGGTTATCCTAGGTTCTCTACACATATGCTGCTATGTATGATAATTCTATGTAACTGTATTTGTGTATACCTGAATAAACTTACTTACTTACTTACTTACTGTTATGCAGACTACTGCAATACTGTAATAATTGTATAAATAACATCAACCCATTCATGACTGCATATTAGAATAGCTAGTTGGACATTTATTGGACAGTGACATCATTTGTTTACTTTTGAACATTGGCAAAAATCAAACATTTCCCCTACTTTGAGCTCCATTTCCAGGTTCTTTTTATAGTAAAATCAATCAAAATCACCTCTATTTCTATAATATGTTTTCCATTCTATCAAATGAGACCAAGAAAATGAGAATACAACCATAAATACTATACGAAAATAGACCACAAAGTCGGCATTTTAGTTAAAAAAAATGGTCGGAGATTTTTTTTTTCTCATTATGCACTGCGTGCTCCAGGATTTTTTTTATATAGTGCACACTGACCACACAGACCCATTCTCTCACATGTGGGCCTACCAGCTTTCTCCTGCTTGATTTGAAGCCGCTAGAATTTATGAGTATGTATGTATATATATATATATATACGTCAAACACGGTACCTCGTAAGACGAATGTATACGACCTTGACAGTCAAAGGGTTAAAATAAGGGAAGTAACCCCAGAAAAGGACTTGCTACCTAAAGTTCTTATGGATGGGGATACCCCTTCCAAAAATTAACCCTTTCAGCGTCGAGAGGCCCTCTCCAAAACTTTCTCCGGGTCAAAAATTTTTCGGAAAAAATAATTTTTTTTATGAAATGATAGAGAATCTTTTCCCGATCATAATGACACCAAAATTATGAAATTTGATGGAAAACCTACGGAATTATGCTCTCGCGAAGTTAGCGGTCTCGGTGATGTTTACGCATCAGCGATTTCTCCCACTTTGAGCCCTATTTTCGGCCGATTCTTGTGTATTAGTCAACAAAAATCATATTTATTTAGCTAGAACTCCATTTTTTTCTATTGAATGAGTACAAGTAACCACCTATTTACCAATTTCAACTATCCAATAAAGTGGTTAGAAATTGGCCATTTTGCCAATTTCACACAAATTTCAGAAGATGCCAATTTCCAAATAGGGTCCAGAATAAACAAGACAGACATTCCTGGCACTAAAATAACAAGTTCTCTGTTAGTTAGTCACGTCCCCAGGCCCCTCCTACATTTCTTTTGCTTTCCACTTATAATTTTTATTCTCACAAAAAATAGAAGATTTACTGTTATGCAGACTACTGCATTAGTGTAGAAATAGTATAAATAATATCAGCGCACTTGTGAAAGAATTTTAGGCTCACCAGTTGACATGTATTGGACGCTTGGCATGATTTGTTTACTTTTGAACTTTGGTAAAAATCGAACATTTCTGCTACTTTGAGGTCAATTTCAAGGTACTTTTCATTGTGAAACCAATCAAAATCATCTCAATTTCTGTAATATGTCTTCCATTCTAGAAAGTGAGACCAGGAAAACTAGAAGACAACCATAAATACCATATGAAAATACAGTGCAAAGTCGCTGTTTTAATCCAAGAACACGGTCAAAGTTTTTTTTCTCATTACGCACTGTGTGCTGCAGGATTTTTTTTATACTGGGCACACTGACCACATAGACCCATTCTTTCATATGTAGACCTACCAGCTTTCTCTCGCTAGATTTGAAGGTTCTAGAATTTAGGCATTCTAGTACGTCAATAACCCTGGTGCATAAGCCGTACTAGTACGTTGGAAACCCTGAAAGGGCTAATACACTTCCCTCTCCCCTCCTCCCATCTCATCACACATCACTACAGCTTCAATAAAGGTAAGTGTCATTTATTCTTCATTTAGTACAGTATATTGTGCATGTATCCTTTTTGTGTGTAGGAAAATGTATATTTCATGTGTTAAAAATATTTTTTTCATGCTTTTGGGTGTCTGGAACAGATTAATTGGATTTCCATTATTTCTTATGGGGAAAATTAATTCGATTTACGATAATTTTGTCTAACGGTGAGCTCTCTGGAAAGGATTAATATCGTAAGTCGGGGGTTCACTGTATACATAAAAGTTTTGCAATTTTTGTGAAACATTCTTAGTTTATACAGCATTCATGGCATACCATTGACAACAGCAAACTAAAGAACACACCAAATTGCATTGTTGGATTGAATAATAATGGTGAGGACATTAACCCGTCAACTGTCCAAACGTAGATCTATGTTTTTTTTTTTTTTTACATTCTTATGGGGAAAATCAAGGTTGGAGCGCTACACGTGAAAACGTAGATCTACGTTTGGACTGTTTAAGGGTTAAATACAATACGTACATGTAAAGGATGTTTGTGTGGGAAGTAGATCTTACATTTTTATAGTTTTGTTCCCTTCAGTAGTGATTCGTTATTATGCATTCGAGAAATGTAGCATGGTGAAAATTGATCCATCTTATCAGCAAATATAAATACAGTGGACCCCCGGTTTACGATCAGCTCCCAATGCGACCAATTATGTAAGTGTATTTATGTAAGTGCGCTTGTATGTGTATGTTTGGGGGTCTGAAATTGACTAATCTAATTCACAATATTCCTTATGGGAACAAATTCGGTCAGTACTGGCACCTGAACATACTTCTGGAATGAAATAATATCGTAAACCAGGGGTCCACTGTATGTGAATTTTATTCATTGATTTACTAAGTAAATTACTGGGGTAACAGGAGTACCATGCAGTCAGTGTCTCTCTGCCTTAAATGTTTCCTGAAGCACTACTGTGCACTATTATGGTTTTTAATGGATTTAATGGTAGCATAGTTTTCTTTTAAATTTTCTTTCATTTTTATTTAGAAGGTTATTTTTGTTTATGTAATATTTTAACAGGCCTTCAGAATTATTGACTTTTTGTTTTCATTAGCACTTTTATTTGCTGTATAAGAATGTTAGTCATCAATGTACTTTTTTCAGAAGTAGGGAGTATCTGTTTGAGAGACGTAGTCACAGCCTAAATGGGCTTTTAAAACAGGATAAAGTACTAGGATTTTTTGTCAGAAGTATTCACAAAATGTATTCCTAGAATGAGGTCAACACTGTATTGTAGTGATGTGCTATACTACAGTTATTGTTTCAGGTAATGTTTAATCCTAGCACATTTGGGAGCGGTGGGTCAGGGTTTGGTGGATTTGCTCTGCCCAGCTCTACGCCAGCATCTGCAAATCCAATGAAGGATTTTGAGGTGAGATGCTTTACTTTTATGAAATATTGTTTGATGTGTACATGGGCACTTGAGTACGGTACTGCATTAATCTCAACTGAAATTTTCTGTGATTGTGATACTGAGGGAAATAACAGTAATGTCACTTGTTTCATTTATATTATGGCTGCAGGTTGTGAACCCTCCAGATGACTCTGTTCAGTGCATGGAATTCTCACCGCCGTCTATTCCTCAAGATTTTCTAGTAGCTGGAAGCTGGGATAATAATGTAAGTTAATACATAATTAATTATAATTTTGAGCAGTTTTTCCTCATCTTTATTTACTGTTATCTTAATTTGTTTCATCATGTTGAGCAGTATGACTTGTGTGGGTTTAACACTTATGTAAATAATAATTAATAAATAATAATAATAATGATTCTCCATGGGGAAGTGGAACAGAATTCTTACTCCGTAAGCCATGCGTGTCGTAAGAGGCGACTAAAGTGCCAGGAGCAAGAGGCTAGTAACCCCTTCTCCTGTGTATGTTACTAAATGTAAAAGGAGAAACTTTTGTTTTTCCTTTTGGGCCACCCCACCTTGGTGGGATATGGCCGATGATGATGATGATGATGATGATGATGATGATGATGATGATGATGATGATGATGATGATGATGATGATGATGATGATGATGATGATGATGATGATGATGATGATGATGATGATGATGATGATGATGATGATGATTGATGATGATTGATGATGATGATGATGATGATGATGATGATGATGATGATGATGATGATGATGATGATGATGATGATGATGATGATGAATGATGATGATGATGATGATGATGATTGATGATGATGATGATGATGATGATGATGATGATGATGATGATGATGATGATGATGATGATGATGATGATGATGATGATGATGATGATGATGATGATCCCTGCCTAGTCATTTTACTTATTTAAAAATTAAACACGCTTTTAAGAGTTGGTATTTTTTTTTATGCCAGTGTGCATGTGCATGCATGTGTTTCTTTTTTTTTTGATGAGTGTGCACTCACCTGTGTGTGTGGTTACTGGGGTTGAGTCACAACTCCTGGCCTTTCTCTCCAATTTTCATCCATCATCACACAAAAATTGAAGTTTTTCTATACTTCTTGGCTAATAAAATATAACCAAGTATGATTGTTTAGGCCATCCCAATATTTAACCCTTAAACTGTCCAAATGTAGATCTACGTTAGTACCGCTAGTGCTCCAAACGTAGATCAACGTTTTATTTTTCCTGCATCCAGATTTGGCACAATTAGCCTGAGGTGCCTGGTCAGCATAGAATGGGTCTTAACACTCGGTGTGCGCAGTATTAAAAAAATCTGGGACCACTTAGTACCTTGTGGAGCACCAGTTCAATTGAGTGCTAGCTAAAGCAAATAGCGTGGCAAACACCAGGGATTCACTGATGTCATGTCGTATTAACACACTTCTTTTAAGAGGAAAGTGTTGTTGACCCAGAGTTTAGTGGCTTTGAGATGGATGCGGCCATAAGTGGTTGAGGAAATATAAAAAATCTCGATAATAACCCATATGCAACATTTGTGCAACATCCTTTCATTTTTGATACCACTGGTAGTGTCATCCTGCCAGAATGTCCTATAACCTATTTTCTAAGTAAAAAGAAATGATTCTGGAATGTGTAATACATATGTATTCGGCATACTGGCCAGCTGGCAGACTGGCTGGCTGGCTGGCTGACTTTGGCTGTCTCTCTCTCTCTGTATCTGTCTGTTTTTGTCTCTGTCTATATCTCTCTGTCTATCTATCTCTGTCTCTTTCTCACAGGTACACATAAGTACAGTTATTATACATTGTGTAAATTACCTAGGATAACCCAAAAAATTCAGACAAAGTGCTATACAGTGGAAGATATAAGGCATAATAAGAATGACTGGCAAGTAATATGTATTTTCACTTGATCAGGAATCAGATGTGACGACTCTGCATTGTGTGTAATACCTCTTGGTTTACAAACCACTCTCTGAGACAGAGACAAGCAGACAGAAAGACAGACACACACAGGCATCAGACAGACAGACATGTTTGTGTGTAACAGTGCAAACAAATAAAGCCAGGGTTCCCTGGAGCAGTGCATGATCATCAAGTGTCGCTCCACTGCTGCACTGTCAGCAGTGGAGTGCTCCTTGTCTTACAGTAATAATACACTATGCTTCAAGGAGTTTCATATATACTCCAGCATGTCTAAAACATTGCTGGGACCTATAATTACTGTGTATATATATTTCTAGACAATAGTAAATAACCAAGATAGGTGAAAATGTTCACCTGCCAGCATGTTTGTGACTATTCGAGTATTGTTTCACTACCTAATATTAGTGTCAGAACAAAGATTGACTATGAAATCACAAGAACTATTAAAAGTTGTAATTATCAGAACATAAAAATTATATAAATTAAAATGAAAACAAGAGAAAAAGGTATATCAGCAACACATCTGCAAGCAGCAGGACTCCATGTTACCTTCAGGTGAGCATCCAGCATCAAAATCGCAGTCTTATATCTAGGTATGATCTTAAATTTTTTTTGTTTGGTCTTATTACACACAGAGAATTGCCGTCTTTAATTTAATTTTTTTTTTTTTTTCAAAATACTCAGAGCGCTGGCAGTGAAAATGTAGATCTACGTTAGGACAGTTTAAGGGTTAAAGTAAACTTAGTAAAACCTAAAACAGACTGAGGGTAGGGTGCTTCCTACCCTTCCTCAGGAAAATCTCCAAAAATTTGATTCAGTAAACCGTCATTTAACCCTTTGACTGTTTTCGACGTATAAATACGTCTTACGAGCCAATGTTTCTGACGTATATATACTCAATTCTAGCGGCTTCAAATCAAGCGGGAGAAAGCTGGTAGGCCCACATGGGAGAGAATGGGTCTGTGTGGTCAGTGTGCACCACATAAAAAAATCCTGCAGCACACATTGCGTAATGAGAAAAAAAAAACTGATCGTTTTTTTGGAATAAAACGCCGACTTTGAGGTGTATTTTCGTATAATATTTATCGTTGTATTTGCGTTTTCATGGTCTTAGGTGATAAAATGGAAAACATATTACATAAATAGAGATGATTTTCATTACTTTGATGATGAAAACGACCTTGAAACTGAGCTCAAAGTAGTGGAAATGTTCGATTTTTACCAATGTTCAGGAGTAAATAAATCACACCACACGTCCAATACACGTCAACTGGGGAGTCTAATATTCTTTCACTAGTGCACTGATATTATTTATGCCATTTTTACAATAATGCAGTAGTCTGCATAACAGTAAATTTTGTATTTTTTTGTATGAATAAAAAATCAAAATAGAAAGCAATAATAATATAAGAGGGGCCTAGAGATGTGACTAATGAACAGAGCATTTGTTATTTTAGTGCCACGAATGTCTACCTTGTTTATTCTGGACCCTATTTTGAAATTGGCATCTTTTTTAGTTTGCGTGAAAGTGGCCAAATTGCCAATTTCTGACCACCATATTGGGTAGTCCAAATTAGTAAATGGGAGGTTTCTTGTACTCAGCTGATAGATAAAATGGAGTTCTAAAGAAATAGCTATGAGTTTGGTCAACTGGAACAATGGAATTGGCTGAAAATAGTGCTCAAAGTCGGCAAAATCGCCGATACACATATGTCGCCGAGACCGCTAACTTCGCGGGAGCATAATTCCATGAGTTTTCGACCAAATTTCGAACTTTTGGTGTCATTACCATTGGGAAAAGATTCTCTATCATTTCATGAGAAAAAATATTTTTTTTTTTTTTCAAAAATTGAGCGACATAGAATGACAGTTTCAGAAAGGGGCCTGAAACAGTCAAAGGGTTAACACGGTAGTTACATTCCTGAAAATGGCGTTTTAGGTAAAAAACCATGTAAGATGAACTGAAGAACTTACAGGAAAAATAAGGTTACGTTCCTGAGAGCCCCATAAAAGCCAAACAACTTTTTTTTAGGCCTCCACATCTTACAAAAATGAAAGTGAATATGTAATTGTAGTTCATTGTTGTGATGAATTATGTTGTTTTTACTGCTTAACCCTTTCAGGGTCTGTGCCATAGTTCTATGGCTTTGAGTTGTGGGTCCAAACTGTAGAACTACGCCAAAATTCTAGCGGCCTCAAATTTAGATCAAGAAGGCTGGTAATCCTACATCTTAGAGAATGGGTCTGTGTGGTCTGTGTGCGCACTAGAGAAAAAATCTGGATGCCCGTATGACATTGTGGGAAGGCCACCAAAGTAGTTTTGTTCACCATGCCTAGCGGCAAGGAAGCTGTCACTTCCCGGGCAAATTCTGGCTCTCCTCTTCCCAACTTATAGTTGATGGAAGTGGATCTGAAGAGGAATTCTATGGTTTTGAACCATATGGTACAATGGTACCATATACAATGGTATATGGTACAATGGTACCATATGGTACAGTGTACCATATGGTACATGACCCTAATGGAAATAAGTCTGTCTGACTTTTTTGAGTTATCCTAGGTTCTGCAAACATATGCTGCTATGTAAGATAATCTGTGTAACTTCTGTATACCTAAATAAACTTACTGATGACACCACATGTGCTTGAGTAAGTTTATTCAGGTATACATATATACAGTTACATAGATTATCATACATAGCAGCATATGTATAAAATCCTAGGATAACCCAAAAAAGTCAGGGTGACTTATTTCCATAGGGATCCCTGTATCATTACCATATGGTACCCTGTACCATATGGTACCCTGTACCATATGGTACCCTGTACCATATGGTACCCTGTACCATATGGTGCCCTGCACCATATGGTACCCTGCACCATATGGTACCCTGCACTGTATGGTACCCTGCACCATATGGTATCCTGCACCGTATGGTACCCTGCACCATTTAGTATCCTGTTCCGTATGATACCCTGTAACATGATACCCTGTACCATATGGTCAGTAGGAGGCATTGGTGCCATGAGGCACCAGCCAGGACTGAGAGTGTGAGGGAGGGCCAAACCACTGACTAGGCAGTTTCCAAGACAAAGCGCTGCATCATTCACCTCTAGCAACATGTCCAGTGGCTGTACATTTGTAAATATATAATAGAACATTACTAATATATATATTTGCATATTTTTTGTTGTAAACAATTATTGTAAACGGAATGATGAAAATATTAGTGCGGTTATTGTGTTGAATACAACAGTACCATATGGTACCTATGCACCAT